AAAAAAAAAAAAAAAAAAAAAAAAAAAAAGCTGTTTCTAAGAAAGTTGAAAGCCACGCAATAGAGGGACACCCTTCCTAAAATGAGGTTGTCTGGTCAGGGGTTGGCCTCTCACCTCCAACTGACAAACTGCAGTAGCTAATAACATGTTAAGTAAGCCACTGCTGCGGTTCCCAGAGATATAGAGGAGGTACCTAACTTGTGTAAACCCAAATGGCTTGTCCACAGACAAAATCTCTCTCCACAGAGGCATGCTGTTAGGGAAATCTTAACCTCAGAATTCAAGAATTTCTTGAATTACACCAAGAAATACACTTAGGGACAGGTCATTAACTAAATACTGGAATTATACAATGTGTGTACACTCAGCAAAGGACCTGGTATACTATGCACTCCTCTGAGTTGCCGAATGAGCTTCAAAGGCAGCACTGACTGGAGGGCAATGTGCTCGACTAGAGCCAGGATACCTGCCATTTAGGTCCATGTTTGTCAAGAAAGGTCACAATCCCAGTGCCAAATGCAAATGGAAAACCAAAAACTATTGAAAAGTCCCCCTTGCTGCAGAGTAACTACTAAATGTATCGCTTTCATGATAACACGACCTGGATTTTGCAAGTGATCTGTGCAGCATATAAGGGACAGATATATGCCTTACTCAAGTTGCTTTTTGTAATATTATCTAGCCTAGTTCTTCTAGGAACTCTCAGGCAGCTATTTGCAATTCAAAGCATTGATCTATTGCAGTCATCTGGTGACTGCAACATTTAGCTCTGTGGGTTATTACAGAGGCATTGCTTTTTTTAAACTGAAGGGCATTAGTATCTAGGACACCAGCCAACTCATGTGTGATTAGGTATGAAGTTTCACAAATTAATCGGTTGTCATGACCAACAGCAAATAAAAACACTGTCCCTACTTGACAAGGTTCAATGCTAGAAGATCTGGTCCTAAAAGGGGGATTAAATGAGTACCTCAGTGAAATGCTACGTAATGCCTTCTGCAGAGATACATAAAAAGTAAAATGCATTCACCAAAATGATCAAGACAATGTACTTACTTGCTTTTTCTTGTAGAACCCCTTCTTGTCACAATTTGGAATATGGAAACCCCTAGGACTCAAGACATTTAGGATCTTTAGGTGGTTTAATGTGTCTTCCATTTCTCTGCGACAGGGACCCTGTTAATGAGGAGGGTTGAGAAAGCGTAAGTGAAATTAATTCTCAAATGTGTTTTGCATAAATGTTGTCATGCATTTGCAGAAACAAGAGTCTAGTAAATCTTTAAACGGGAAATATTTAGTTCCAATACTCCAGTACTTAATACACACACACAAAAAAAGAGATGGCTGATGGCTAGCAATGTCAAAAGTAGACCATTCCCAGGTACAATTTTGAGATCATGCTTCATTAAGAATAAACTGACTTCTAAACACTCTCTGCTACACGCAGGCACAGACTGGCATTTCCAGATGTAATCACAACCACCTACATGTAAGGGAAGGCCTAACCAGTATACAAGTTCTTATAATTCATGCTATGGAAAGTTGGGAAATAAGGCATTACCAAGGGGACTGGAAATAAACTGCTCAGTTGTTCTTCTCCAGTGGCATTTATTTCTGTGACAATACTGGATCTAAAACCCTCAATGAAATTGATTTCATTGAAAACAAGTAGTCTCGTACATGGTGTGTATATATATATATATATATATATATATATTTGAAAATACTGAACAAGATCTTTTTCCTTCTCTATCTCTATAGTTAAGCAGAGTCTAAATAATCTATCTTGGGACAACAATTCCAAGTCTCAGCAGGACCAAATGGCTGCAGCAATGCAAACAAATGGATGCGACATTTTCATTAGATAAGTCAGGCTCTTTTTGCATCAGTTTCTCCATCTGTGAAAGGAGGACAATAATGCAGCAAGGATTAGCTTTAGGACACTGAGATAAAAAGAACTTACAGAAGCATTTTTAAGAGCATGTCTCAAATGCCAACTAATTATTTCTCACTGCAGCCCTTTGAGGTAGGGAGTAAAACATTACCAGCCCCATTTTACGGGCAGAAAACCAGGAGCAGAGGAGTTCAAGATTTGCCAGAGGCCAAGAAGGCAGCCAGTGTCAGCAATGGGATTAAAATTCAAGAATTACAGCCTGCAAATTCTGTGCTTAGCCATGCTCCTGTTAGAGCATATTATTGACTCAATCCACCAATCCACTCCTTAAACACATACCTGAAAAAAATCCTTTGCATGGTTACATGGGTTTAAAATGCTTGAGTTGCTGTAACAACACAACGACTCACTGTGGCAATTCTTAATTAGTGAAGTAATGATACTTATCCTTCAAGTTGTAATATTAATAGTTTGCTCATATAAAGTGTCTTTCATCTGCATGTCTGAAAGCATACAGATCCAACAGTCCTGGTGAAGTTTAAAATTGATTTGGGGGTCAGCAAATACTTTCCTTGCAGCTTTCATATATTTTCTTTCAGTATCAATCTCTCGAGCTCTGAACATGTTCTTTAAGCTGCTGCTCTTATGGGTAGTTCCTTAAATAAATAAAACTGTTCAGACACACTGACTGCAGATCACATGCTTCCAAAGATCTGGTCCTGAGCTAGGTCTACAAAACATGCAACAGTTTTTCTTTTTTCTTTTTTTTTTTTTTTCCTCTCTTTTTGAAGTAGACTTCAAGAGTCAGCGAGATCAATATCAAAAGCAAACATACAGAGACATAGCTAGAAAGGCATTTGCTTACAAAGGCATCTGACCCAGATGGACTTCTGGTCTTTCAAGCCATGAGCAGTTTTGTTAAGTCAGTGGGCCCTTTGCATATGAAGGGGAAATGCTTCTCCTACGTAAGGCCAGGATTCAATTTTCTCAGAGTTACCGAAGCTGATCTTTCACTATAAGCAGTTTGTGTTTTCGGAAGGAAGATACTCTGAAACTCAGATGTAAAAGGATTTTTACCAGAATACTGGGCCTTGTGATAAACTGAACATACAGGACAGTCAACCTTGATGTTTCAAGCTAAGAGGACACACTTCAGACAGATCTGTCTCCTCTAAGCAGGGAAACCTTCTTTTGAAGATAGGAAACTATATATGGTTTTAGCATGGCTCTTCTGATGAAATGCTAAAGTGTATCCAGCAATTATTTTTAACGTCATCTGGCACAGGCATGGGAATAACCAAGTTATCAGCCACAAAGTTCCCAGATAGCAAGTATTAGAGAACAAAGCTCTTCAAATGAATGTTACTGAGGTTGCCCGGCAAAGCCTGTATCTTCGTTGTGCACTATGTGCCGGTGAGCTCCTGCCTGCTGGTGTAACAGGCCAACACCATGCCTACAAGTCTCCTACACTGTGACTACAAGACTCCGGCCTGTCATGCAAATACTGAGTTGAGGCCCTTCAGATTAATTTCTCTTCCTTGATGTGCTCCATGGGGGATGAGCACAGTGCTAGAGCACTGAATGTGAAGCCTTTCCTTTTTGCTGCCATATTGCAAGCAAATAATGCTGCTTGCAATCAAACTGCTGATATTGCTAAGCCAGTTTCTGAGACCATACATGATAATAATAGGTGGAAAGAACATTTGCTCTTTAAAAATCAGCCCATGAAAACCATATTAAAATCAATGTAAACATCAATACTTTAAGCCTCCGTGTTTTCTGAACATCATCTATTTGGTCTGGCTAATTATCTACATATCTAAGTCCAGTAGGTCAAACCAGTACCAGCCAGAATTTTCTAACAACAATTTTCTACAACAATTATCTCTTTTTTTGTTTGTTTGTTTTTACTATTATTAACATTGTCAAATGCAGCACATGCATAAGGGCACATACAAATGCACACTCACATGCAGGAAAATAAATTTTTACTCATAAAAATACTTACATATTCAGTCTCTTGTTTGGATTCAGAGGAGAAATTCAGTGTATCTGTACTTTGTGAATCATATTCCACTTTGTAGCGCCGTGTATTTTTGGCTTGCTCTTTCCTGATGATATCTATTTTGATATGCTGCGGGTGCGATTTCGAATCTGACACCCTGTGGGAGTTTGGGAAGGCCTGGTTTTCTATGCTACTGGTACTTCGGTCTTCCTCTGAATCACTGGAATTTCCTTCAAATAGAAAAAAAATGAAGAAGAAAAGTGAAGAAGAAAAGTTAATCATCCGCCAGCTGAGACCACTAAATTAGCCTTTAAATTTAATTTGCAAAATAATAACATACAAAGCCATGAACAAGTCCATATTGTGAATGCAACAGCATCTTCACTGTAGTATAAAGACTTCACTTAAGTATAAAGAACAGTGATAAAATGAATAAATTCTTTACTCCTAGTGCATCTTTTCAAGGTTGCTGCATATATGCTTTTTTTTTTTTTTTTCCTCTCCAATTAATCACTGGAAAGCTCTTCACATCCCTTGAATTTCAAATCCTCCTTAATTCGGGGATGCTCAAACTTCTTACTGTTGCTCTCCACAGAGTTTTCTGGGTTTGCTGCCAGGAGGGGGCAGCTCTGCACCATTTCCTGCCCCTTCCCAAGCTTTGGACCAGCATTAGAACTAACTCTTGTTAGCAACTTCATGAGTGCGAGACGCAAAGGATCTGAGTAATTTATTCCTGACCTAGAGCAGATTTAATGAAGTTTAATTAAACACAACTAACTCAGGAAACTCACTGAGTTTCATGCAACTCTTTTCTTCCCCGGGAAAGTAATTAAGAAAAAAAAAGTGTCAATACAAAAAGTGCTACCAGGTTGAGCTCAGTGATTCTAATTAATTTTAACATTGCTTTTCTTTCTTAATTTTATTTTCCAAACTGAATGGGAAAGAAAAATAAAGTGGCATGTTGCATTCTTAAACCGTTTAAAATTAGAAACATTTCTAGGTGTACAAAACAGACAAAAAAAAAAAGAAAAGAAAAAGGCATTCGTTTTGCAGTGGTGTCAAAGCACAAACATCTGCTTTCATTCCGAGCTTTGAAAATATTTTCTCTTAAATTACCACCCATGAAACTACAGGAGAAACACATTTCTCCCCTAAATCCTGCATGAGCACAGTGTTCCTTCGCTTTCTGAGCTATTTGTCCATCCTGCATTTCTCCCGGAGGAGCCTCTTGCAGTGTAACTGTAACTGGCTGCCTTTCCTCTGAGGAATTTTTCAAGTTTGTATCTTTATCTTCCCATCCGCTAAGTCACACTAGTTGCTGATGTGTTTCAGTGCCCTGGCTGCTCACTGTTTTCTTTTTTTCTTTTTTCCCTGTAAAGGAAATAATCTTGGGAGTGCACAGTGATAACCTGTTGTTCAAAGAATATCATGGAAATCTCTAATATAAAGTTATGCTCCACAGCTCGCTGAGAAACCACAGAAGCTTAGAAGAAACTCAACATTGCGCCTAAAAGGCCACGCTCATGTAGCCCATGGAGCCGGAGCCCAGTGTCTCTGGCAACACCTAGGCACAGGGGAGGGACACGAGGAGGAGGGATGAGAGCTCACATCCTGGTACCAGTGGTTTTAGTGTAGCCACTGTTGGCAATGGACATAATTGACCGGGAAAATCCAACTCCCGGTGCAAATGGATTAAGGAAGTTCAAGTCTTAAGTCTAAATTTCCTGGCTTTTGTGGGTTTAACTCAAGACTCTCAGTGGTATTTGAACATATTTCTGGTGGTTTAATGTCCTGTTTTTGAACAGAGATTTTTTTTTCCATGCTCTTAATGAAATGTGCAAGAAGAGGGGACACAATAGAAGGTCAGAAACCTGGATCTCCTATATATAAACACTATATTGCCCACTAGGTTTTCTGCAGTCAGTCCCATTCATTAGCTTTCCAGGTCTACCAAAAATAGGTGGAAAGTATTCTTAATGCACATTAAATAATCAGCAGGCTGATCATTTTGCGGTTTGTACAAACCCGCACGCCTAGACAGCACTTCTTACATCTGGGCAGCTATAATGTCACATTTTAGTCTGCGAAGCACATTCTGACGACTTGGCCCTATAAAACCCGGTGCCATGTTAGCTTTACATCCAGCCCTAATGGAAACAAAAGTGCTCTGTGAAAAAGTGACTTGCTCTCTTTCAGAAAACAGACTAGGAGGGTTGCATAAGCACACTACATCATCTCATTTTAGTGCCCAGAAAACTCAACTTGTAAAAGAAGTCCAGTGGCCTACTATATTTGGTATTAAGAAGCTAGTGTAACACACACTGCCCACACCAGGGTATTTTTTTTTTCTTTTGGGGGCGATTTTTTTTTTTTTTTTTTTTTGCAATTTCTGCAAATTACTAATGACAGAAAGCACAGTATATGATGCAGGACTAGCTGTGCATCAGGGAGGAGGCCTGACACTGGCCAGAAGGAGTTTGCGTCATGCAGACTTGGTCTCCCAAGTGCGGGATTTGGGATGAAACGCTAGCAGCCCCACTAAAGAGGCAGGCATATGGGCTCAGGATATTTGTTTCCTCTCAGAAAGGGAGTTTTCAGCATTCAGGCCCTGAGTGGGAATGACAAAGGATCCGCTTCCCACTTTTTTTAAGCAATTAGAGCTCCAACTGATTTCAAAACAGGCGTGCTCCGTGAGCCAAGAATGCACAAACAGGAACTCGGTATCTTGACCATTTACACTGAAACTGGAAAGCTTTTTGGTGGTGAACTCAAGTGCAGTTCTACTTTTCCCTTTCTCCCTGCCTAACCCGTCATCCATACAACCTAAAGCTCTTCATTAAACAGTGCCAAGTCTCGGATTTCTGGAGGGAATCTTCCCCTCATCTCTCAGCTCCTCTGCAGGCTTAATATGCAAAGTCAAGTTCACAGGATAGAGGAAGTGGTTCCATGTTCCAGCAAGATTTAAAATTTCAATGAGCACCTTTGAATCCGCGCTCATTCAGATGGTCTCAGCTGGGGCACAGCACATAAATAATTATAATAAGGCATCTCCTCGTGCTGGAGCAGCCAGTGAGCTGGGGCACTGGTGCCACTTCCTCTCACACAGCTAAGGAGAGGCCAGCCAAAGAGTCCCTGCAAGCCGGCAGAGAGAAACGCCAGGCTTTTTAAAAATGCAAACAGTGGAAAGCCTTTTGACACACTTTTCTATTAAATAAATGTTAACATACTTTCTGTTGGTTAGCAAACAGTTTAATGAAATGTTTGCACAAAGGGACTATGCTTTCTTGATCCCAATCCCAAGTTTCCCTGCCTCTGAACTTGCCAAATGTGCATGCTAACAGGACTTTTTTTCCCCCCCAATCTTCCCTGCTTCTTAAAACAACAAAAAAAGCTCTATGAAGGTCTCTGGTACAAGACATGCAAGAGCTATGGGAAAGTTTTGCTGAACTGAGCGCTTATTTGCAGTGCAAGGGGAGGAGGGGAAATAATCACAGTGTCCTCTCAAAACTACTTTTGTGTAAATACGTTGTTCTGAATAACCATCTTCCTGAGCTAGGACTGCACCTAACAACCCCACATCCTTCAGTTTTTTCCCTTTTTCTTTTTTTCCAGTTTTTGTCCCTCTCCCCAAGTTTCCCTGGGGCAACTGCAGTCAGCTCCACACCTCTGCTTCTTCGCATGCTCTTTCGAGGAACAAGGCTCCCTCACGGGCCTCTCACCTTCCTCCCTGCACGATGGTCAACACAGCAGCCATTCTGGCGCCCATCACAGAAGCAAAGTGCAACTGCCCCAGATCATTACTGTTATTACTGTTACTACTAAAAGGGCAACAGTGACTTTTGCAAGGCGCAAATTCGCACTAGTGGTGTTCATGAAATACAGGCCGCAGAGAAGGTCAAACAGGGAGGGGCTGAGCGCGCCCGCTCTGTTGCTGCGGGGAGCCCCTAGTCGGCACTCGGCGTTGCACAGGAGCGCGCAACAACGTGCGCAACTTGCTTCCCACTCGCCCCGCTCTTCCCGTGCCACCCGGCGTGGCTGCGCATGCAGCGTGGGTGTCCTCCTGTCCCCGCGCCGGGTCTTACCTGCGGAGTGCGCACCGGGCAGCAGGAAGGCGCGCAGCTTCCCTCCCGCCGTGGCGTTGGCGCAGAGCCCGCGGCCCTCGAGCAGCGCCTGCAGCGGGCGCGCCTCGTCGTGCCGCGGCTGGCAGCTGAGGCCGGCGCCGCAGCGCTCGCTGTAGATGCCGCACGGCTGGCCGAGGCGCAGCGCGCACGTGAGGCAGCAGCCGCAGCCGGGCTCCCGCACGCGCTCCGCGCACTCGGCCTGCAGCGGCTTGCACTGC